CAGCTCACAGCAACCTCCAACTCCTGGGCTCAAGCGAATCTCCTGCCTCTGCCTCCCAAGTAGCTGGGACCACAGGCGCCCGCCACAACACCTGGCTATTTTTTTTTTGGTTGCAGCCATCATTGTTGTTTTGGCGGGTCTGGGCTGGGGATTCGAACCCGCCACCTTAGGTGTACGTGGCTGGCGCCTTAGCCAGTTGAGCTATAGGCGCCGAACCAGTACATGCCATCTTTCCAGAGAATAGCCACACACCACTCAGCAGCACCCAGGTGTGTGGAGAAGGCAGAATACCTCCAGCCTTTGCTTTTGAAAGGATTACCTCAACATGCAAATGTTGCCCCCAGTAGCTGTCAGATGTGTGGGCTATATCCCACCTACATCCTATCAGCTCACAACCAGATGTGGGCAGGTTGGAGGGACAGGTGCCCAGGAGCCACCCAGCCCAGTCACCTGCACGAGCTGTCCGGCCAACTCTGTGGATGTAGATCTTAGGGAGTCCGGGAGTGTTGTGGTTGATGACTACCTGCACTGTGGGAATGTCTAGGCCCCTGCAGGCAGAGAACAGTCAGCTCTGGAATCCATGCTGGGACAATGAGGCAAGGAACTCACCCAAGGATACTCAACCTGGAAGCTGGGGCTGACTGAAGCCAGCCTCACCCACTGACCCTGCCCTTGGGGCCTCACCCTCTTGTAGGGAGGGAGTGTCCTAAGCAGGAGACATAGCCCAGACCCAGGGACCACTCACCGGGAGGCCACATCTGTTGCGATCAGGATCCGGTAGATGCTGGACTTGAACTTGGCCAGGGCAGCAAAGCGTTCTTTCTGTGCCAGGTCAGGGAGAAAATTGGGAGTACTAGGGGAACGCTTTCTGTGTGAGACCAGGACAGACCCTGCCCTTACGTGGCTCAGTCCGCTTAGAGAGGGGACCGTGAAAAGGCCACAGAGGGTCAACTGAATGATGGCTGAAAGAGATATGTTCGGGCTCAGCACCGATAGCTCAGTAGTTAGGGCACCAGCCACATACACTGGGGGTGGCGGGTTCAAACCCAGCTAGAGCCTGCTAAACAACAACAAAAATACCCAGCCTTTGTGGCAGGCACCTGTAGTCCCAGCTATGTGGGAGGCTGAGGCAAGAGAATCGCTTAAACCCAAGAGTTTGAGGTTGCTGTGAGTTGGGACACCACGGCACTCTACCAAGTGTGACATAGTGAGACTCTTGTCAGTGACCTTTTGGGACCAAGAGGCAATAGGTAGAGTCCATGCAAAGGCCCCAAGGCTGGGAAGTGTAAGGGGTGTGGCTGGTAGGCTGTGGGTGGACTCACCTGTTTCATCATGGAATGCAGAGCCACAGTAGGGAAGTTGAATTTGCGCAGCATCATACACAGGATCTGGCAGGTCCTGGTGAGGAGGATATTAACCCCTCCTGCTCTGGGGTTCTAGGAAGGCATCCCAGCCCCCGCCCACCCTTAAGACCCCAAGCAGGGTCACCCTGCTCAGCTTAGAAAGCAGGATGAAGGGTGTCAGAGGTCTGGCTTGTTCAATGTACTCTCTGCTGAACCCC